TATTTCTCTTACTAAAGAGTTAAACCTATACCTTAAAACACATTTATTAAGCAGAGTCAAGAAGACTCTTACCCAATAAAAGTGACCCAGTAAGATGCATTTTTAGGTATTTTTCCTGGGATGGGAAGAAGCATTATAAGGCTGGATAGACTTAAGGCTCCAGATACAGATGTTAAAAAAACAAAAACAAAAACAAATAACAAACTCTCCAAAACAAGCATATAAGTGGTCTACCACAATTCTTTAAAACTTTTGAAAGTCTATGCATATGAGAGACACTTTACTTAGCCATAGGTAATGGCCCAAGAATGTATCTTTTAAACTAATTTTTCTTTTTAAAAATACCCTTTTATTCTATCTATCTATCTATCTATCTATCTACCTACCTACCTACCTACCTACCAACCATTTATTCATTTGGGATACAGGGTTTCTTTGTGTTGTCCTGGCTGTCCTGGGACTCACTCTGTAGACTAGGCTGGTCTGGAACTCAGAGATCCACCTGCCACTGCCTCCTGAGTGCTGGAATTAAAGGTGTATGCCAACACTGCCCTGCAAAACTATTTTTATTTAATGCATACGAGTGGTTTTGCCTGCATGTATGTATGTGCACTATTTGGGTGCCTGGTACAGGTGGAAAGGTGAGTAGAAGGCATCAGAACTGGAGTACAGATGTTTGTGAGCTACTATGTGGGTGCTGGGAACAGAATCCACGCCCTTTGGAAGGTCAGCTTGTGCTTTTAAACTGCTGAACCATCTCTCCAGGCCCCTTCCAAGGAGTCTTGCCAACTCAGTTTGGCATGTGTTTCTTGAGGATCTTCTTTGCAGTAATTACTAGGTACCACAGGAGAAAAAAAGATAAAAAAGATACACCTTTTATACAAGAATTAGAACCTAAGAGAAAAGACTAGCATAAGCACACATTTAATTACAGTAAGATAAGGGCCAGAAGAAAGATCAGCTGATAAAAATAGCTACAACTGGGATTTGAGGAAGGCTTTAGGAAAGCCAAGTCGATTGGGGCAGAGGGAGAGCAAAGGCAGAAACTGAGAAATGCAAGCAGGGCTCAAGGACTTGTGGAGCCTCCACCTGGCTTACATTAAGCAGTTTAAAGAGAATAGCAAACAAAGGGCAACAACAACAACAACAACAAAAAACACAATAAAGAAAAGTGGCTTTTTTTTTCTTGCTGTTAATTTAAGAAGCTGAAAATGCAGATGACAACTTCTAGCAGAGGAAAAGGAGAGGTAGGTGGAAGAGGATATATGGATGAAAGTAAGACTGGCTAACAGCTAATGTTCAGAACCTTAGATGCCAAGTCACTTTCTCCTCCATGTACTCGCATGCCCCCAATTTCTTAATAAAATAGTTAAAAATGAGATAGAGAGTTAATGGGGAGGGCAGAAAGAAAGAAGGGGGGAGGAATGGGTGGAGGGGAGGGAAGAAAGGCACCTGACTGATAGGAAAATGGATAGCTGATGGCACTAAACCTATGAAGAACCTCTAAACTCTCAGTTAAGCAGACAAAGGGTCCCAGTAGACTCCAGGGGGAAGTCCACACTGCACATGTGATTCCAGCAGTCAGTGTGCCTGCTTTCAGTTCCCTATGCCCAGCTCTCTTATTTCTCCTCTCCCCACTGGGAAAAAGATCTGAAAAGCTATGCTGCCAGGCAGGCTGTTGGTAACTCAGCATAAGAATGGAGAAACTCTTTCCTCATAGTGTTTGTGTAAAACTACTGCAGCAGTTGGTTTTAATCATAAGCAAGTTTAGAATCTGTGCTGGAAAGCACTGATAAGCAAGGCTGAGGAAAATCCAAAACCCAACTTAACCACATCACCAAGAGGAAAAACCACTCAATAATGTGGCAAACCTAGCTTCTTTACCCAAGTGAGTATGAGTGCACGCTCATACACACACACACACACACACACACACACACACACACACATGAATATATACACCCACATATGCACATATGTATTCACATACACTCACATTTTCTCTCCTCAGAAAGAGAGAATCAAAGGGAAATAGTCTTTTTAGACCCTTTATTTTAAAAACCACACACCAGATTTTTGCAACATCAGTGCAAGGGTTTATGTAAGGGCCCATCAAGGAACACTTTCTTTTTAGGACTTCTAACCTCTGGCAAAAGGTTAAGGCAAACACTAGGAATAAATATTGAAATATTTTGACTTGAGAGGGTTTGCTCTGAATATTTTGAGTTAATATAAACTAGTATTACATATACTAGTTCAGTAATGTGACATGACAATGTCACTTGATGTGGTGGTTTTAATAAAAAATGACCCCTATTGGTAGCTGCAGAGTTGCAATTGCGGACTAGGACAGCAGTTGCTTAAGGGGAATCTACTAAGTTTAGTGAAAGACAACAGAGGACCACTCACAGTGATAGCCAGGAATGTGGAAGTGAAAGAATCCAAGGACTGGGAAGCCCATCTCAACAAATCCAAGTCTAGAAACTACAAACAGTACTGAATGTGGGGGGAAAGAGGCAAAAGCATGCCATTCTGAGATTTATTTATTTATTTAGGATTTTCAAGACAGGCTTTCTCTGTGTAGCTCTGGCTGTCCTGGATTTCATTCTGTAGACCAGAGCTGGCCTGGCATGTTGCCTATGGCTGTTTTCACACAGCAGCATAAGAACTGCATGGTTGTAGTTTTTGCTACAACCCCGCTCTCTTACACAAGAAATTTTCAGATCCATATTAGCATATTCTAAAGACAGTTTTTTGTTTTCCTTCTATCAAACATTTTGGAATACTTGAATAACACACTCCATACCTAGTATCTGGCTTCAAATTCATAGAGATTTGCCTACCTTGGCCTCCCAAGTGCTGGGATTAAAGGTGTGTGGCACCACCGCTGGGCTCACCACCCTGATACTCTAGAAAAGACCTCTCAACTACTTGGCAATCTTACACCAATCTCTATACATTTGGCATGGGCTCTCTCTCTATACATACTTCTCAGAACCCACCAGTCCAGTTTGCCACATCAATTCTGCAATCCTGATGCTTGTGTGGGTCAACTCAGCAGGCATAGAAACAATCAAGGCGCACGTGAACACCCCTGAGTTTGCAGAAGTCACCATCAAGTGTGGGGATCTAGTACCTAGTTCCAAAGTGAGGTCAAATGGTCCTACATATCGGAGATTAACACTTAACACTCTACATGGTGCTGGGAGGAAGGTTCATAAACAAGGTAGGGAATCCTGTGAACTAAGCCTCCGAAGCATACACTACCCCAGTGGTTCTAAGGTGTGGTGCACAGAGAACACTTAGGTAACTGCAAGGTCAAAAGCACTTCCAAACAATATGAAGATGCTACATTTTCAGGAGTGTACTTGAAAGTCTCTAGAAGCTACATGACATGTCATCCCGCAATGCAGAAGCAGATATAAGAATCCAGCTGCCAGCAGGTGGTGGCGGCGCAGTCCTTTAATCTCAACACTTCCATAGGCAGAGGCAGGGGGATCTCTGTGAGTGCGAGCACAGCCTGGTCTACAAAGTGAACGAGTTCCAGGTCAGCTAGGGCTGTTACACCGAGAAAACCTATCTCGGAAAAAAAAAAAAAAATCCACCTGTCTTCTTCTAAGCAGAGATTTGCAGAAATGTAAAACAATGCCACTCTCAATAACTTTGTTTTGGAAAATATAGGATTTTAAAAAGTGTTATGTTAAATATAAGTGGCCTGTTCTGAATTATTAAGTACATTAAGTGTCTATAATTTTTATTTATACACGGCAAATATCAATAGGTACAACTCATATAACAAAGGTTCCTTAAGCACACAAACGGTCCTAAGTCCAAAAGTTCAGCAACTTCTGCTTAGAGGCTGTCATGAGTGTTGCAGGGAGATGTGTGGTTCTAGTGTACCGGCCTAGCCAACTAGAACAGCCCCGTTCACCTTGGGTTTCTCAATCAATCACCATGATCTCTGAACCCGACCATTCCATTGAGGAGATCTCTAGCCCTCACACCACTTCCATTCCTCC